AGACTTTTAATGTCTTTTGCTGAGGACAATTTACTTATCCCAAAAGATTGGGAAATGCTTGTTCGTACGACTTTGGAATCTCTTCAGTACATACAGTTTAAATCATGGTGGCGAGATGAAGCAGAAAGGGTGTCTCACCTAAAAGCTTATCAGCGTAATGGAGGGCCTGATGTGGAACAACTTACAGGTACTGGTGCCTGGTCTGATCTTCAACAGCAATGTCAAGTGAACCCTGCTGCCCTTGCCCAATTAAAGGCAATTTGCCTTACAGCTTGGCAGCAGATTCAAGATTCAGGACAATCCCCCCAAACTTTTGTTAAGATAATGCAAGTTCCTAATGAACCCTATACTGATTTTTTGGCCTGGCTTCATGTTGCTGTCAAAAGAGTAATGAGCAAGCTCGGAGATTTTATGGGTTCAATTTCCAGATTTGAAATTTATTCATTATATGGATGATATTTTAATGGCTATGCCTCCAGATTTTTCTTGCCCAGAATTGTTACAGATTATTCGTGCCACACTTCAGGATTTTCGTCTTTTAATTGTGGAGGATAAGATTCAATCACAGCCTCCTTTTTCTTATTTAGGACAAAAGATTACTGAACAAATCATTATTCCCCAAAAGGTACAAATTTGAAGGGATTCATTGCAGACTTTAAAAGATTTTCAGAAGTTATTGGGAGATATAAATTGGCTTCGCCCTTCATTGGGTATCCCAACATACGCCTTGCATCATTTATTTTCAACACTAAAGGGTGATCCAACCTTAAATAGCCCTCGAGTGTTATCCCAAGAAGCCGAATCTGAGTTACAACAATTGGAAAATATTACCCAACAAGCTCAATTGCAAAGAATTACTGACTATACAAATTTACAACTTGTGATTTTTCATACACCTCACTCACCCACCGGTGTGTTACTACAACAAGATAATATTATTGAATGGCTTTTTCTTCCGCATAAAAGTAGTAAATCATTGGAAACGTATATAGATAAAATTTCTGTTTTGATTACTACAGGACGGCTCCGTTTCTGTCAGTTAACTGGTCAAGGTCCTTGTATTATTGTACTGCCTTTGTCTCACAAAGAGATACAATCCTTGTATGCTTTGAATGTATGGTGGCAATTAGCTGTTAGTTTTACATCTCATTATCCTTCTCATAAGATGCTTCAATTTCTGCAGAGAACATCTTGGATCCTTCCTCATTGTGTTACATTTTCTCCTATATCTAATGCAAAAACTTATTTCACAGATGTTAACAATTTTTGCCTGGCAGGATATTCGGACACAGTAAACCATAAAGTCCTTCAAAGTCCTTATACTTCAGTTCAGAAAGCTGAATTNCTATAGAAACTGTTACTGTTCCTTCTGATTCTAATGAATTACATGCTTTATTTCACTTACTGCAGCAAGTTATTTGCTCCTGTTCCTCACCTCTTTTTGTTACACACATTCACGCTCATACCAATTTGCCTGGACCATTGAGTAAAGGTAATGCATTAATCGAAACTCTTGTAGGTTCTGTTTTACAGGCCACTGAGGCTCATTCCTGTTTTCATTGTAATGCTCGCTGTTTGCATCATGATTATCATATTTCATGGACTCAAGCCCGTGCGATAGTTCAACAATGCCCCATATGTCAAAAATTAGAAGCAGTTCCTTTATCGGCCGGGGCCAACGACCATGGGAATGCTCCTTTACAGTTATGGCAAATGGATGTTACTATTGTTCCTGAATTTGGTAAATTGAAATATGTTCATGTGTCTGTGGATGCTTTTTCAGGTTTTATGAGGACAACGCCGTTGGCATCTGAGCGTGCTGATGCAGTTATTTCTCATCTCTTGGAGGCTTTTGCTGTCATGGGAATTCCTATATGGTTAAAAATGGACAATGCACCTTCACATTTATCTAAGAAATGTCAGTTATTTTTCCAGGCCTATAATATCAAACATTTTACTGGTATCCCTTATAGGTACAGGTCAAGCCGTTGTTGAACGGCATAATAGAACACTTAAATCTTCATTACAAAAACAAAAAGGGGGAGACTATATGGAATCCCCAAGATGACAAATAGCCCAAGCTCTATTTACTCATAATTTTTTGAATAGAAATGCAGAAAATTCAACACCAGCTGAAAGACAATGGGCACATGTATCTAGTGAACCACTACAACAACCTATATATTATTATGATACACTAAAATCCCTTTGGCTTCCAGCGGTAGTTAACCGTTGGGGCAGAGGTTATGCTTATATCTCCACAGATACTGAATCCTTTTGG